TTACCCTGACGACTTAAAATACACTTACACTACTACAGTATTTACACTATTTACAAGCACTCCTCAGGTGCCACATTGTTTTAGAATGTTTTTCTTAGTGGTACTCCACGGCCCAAGGTGCACAGAGACTAACATTGTGCTCCTTGCACGCGTCAACATCCTTTCCTTTAGCTGGGCATTTTGTGATGTTCCTACTGCGTAACACCGCCTTTGCATCGTCGACCACTTGTAAGAGTCGGAAAAGTCGTCCAGGTAAAGTGACGAGCAGCCCAGTCACGTCTAAAAGGAAGTCTGTCAGGAGTCTTGCTTGGCTTCAACGTCGTGGTAGCTCAGCACAATGTTGTCATATTTCTCCAGGAATTAATTCATCACTTGCTTCTGATAAACCCTAAAGGGGGTTTTTTTCCCGGATCTTAAAGGTACAAGTTGTACACATTCAAGATGGTGATGTCCAAGAGGTGTAGGAACATCTTATACCCTCGAGACATTTCCGTACACACTGAACTGCACCAACCTGGTGTCACTCTTATCCACAAAGCGCATGTTGACGTTGTAGTCCACGAGGCGTCAGATTTTTCACTACCTCTCCTGTTACCCTGTCCTTTGCCTGCCCCCATTTGCCCTTGTGGTTGACAGCACTTAAACAGTACGCTCATCATGCTAATATATTGCGTACTGTCCCAAGAAACAGTGTCATGTTCAAGTGAACTTAGCCGGGAAGGAGAGGTATAATAATTACCCGTGTAGAGAGGCGTGATTCCTTCAAAGTAATGGTCCATAAGTTTCTTGACAACAGCGCCAGAAGAAACCATGTGGGTCGTCCTTGGAGTATGTCTACATCACTTGCTGTGTAACAATGAGATCTAAGACATACCCAGTCTACATAACCACAGCATGAAGAACTTCATCCCAATGTGATGTCGTTTGAAGGAATGTATTGTCGAAAAACAACAAATCCTTTGAAAAGCACGGACTAAATGAGCCACTATTTTCTGGAAGGGTTTGAAGAACTTCATGAATCATTCCTTCACCACCATTAAAACTGTCCTTATTTTCCAGGGTCAGTCACCAGCCCAGGGTTGTTGTTGTCCACAAAGTGTAGATAGCGTGGGATGGAGGCAAACGGTCTCTTGACATGAATTTCGAAAACAGCGAGTTGCTGTGATGTCATCAGGAGATATCCAGTACTTCTGAATTAAGTTTTCACATGTGCCATATAAGCATTAGTAATGCAAAAAACACATAAAATTCAGGACACATCATCAGTCCATCGGCGCATTTTTGGCAAAGAGGGCCAGCGGGGTCAGCATCACATGTGTACTGACAAAATTTATTGGTTTCTTACACATCAAGTCCTTGAATACCATCGAAAAAGGCACAAGAGTAGTCCATCTCAAGCGATACTTCTGTACAAAGGCTTCGAGTAATTCCACCTGATGAGTGTCTGAAATCAGGGATGTAAGGTAGGAATTGTTGCCATCAGACCAAAGGCATCCATTGGCCCTTGTCTGGGCAAATGGGTGGCGAGCCTACGCCGGCTGGCTGTGCTTGGCCTCATCACCACTTGTCCCTAAACCATCGAGTCAACCACGATGCTATCATCATGATCACAAGACATATAATCACTGCCTTCTTCACCACTTTCACCAGAAATCGCTACAATACAGCACTCATCAAATAGTTCTGTTATATCTCATTATCCAACCCGGGCTTGATCGGGGTTGACATGACACGGAGGTTGAGGCGACTCCATGGCGACAGGGAATGGTTACTGATTGCTCTGAGCCCACCCACTCCCCTCCGTGTATACAGACAATAGTCACGCTGGTACCTGTTAGCCCGTGAAGGGCATTCAAACAGTGGCGGGGAAAAGCGGCATTCTGGGCGTGACCAGCGCCAGTGCGGCTTTTGGAATGTCTCCTGGGCGTATAGGGTTAAAGAAAATAATAGAAGAGAAAGGCTATAGACCAGAGCAATTGTTTAATGAATCTGGTCTATATTGGAAGAAAATTGGAGTGTTGGTGGTACAGCGCTTAACACTCACCAATATATCAAGATTCGAGCCTCGGCCGGACACCCGAGAGAAAAGTGTTATCAGTGTGACCCTCACTACCAAACACAGGTTTCTTCCTGTACTAACACTGGATGAGAAACGCCCAAACGGCAAATAAGCTGAAAAGTGGCGAATATAATAAAAAGAAGTGCCCCTGGGTTCAAGGCAGCCAAGGACAGTGACACTCATCTTCTGTGGCAGTGCAGCTGGTCACATGATCAAACCTGGCTTGCTTTACCACTCAGCAAACCCTAGGGCTTTAGCGGGAAAACAAGAATCTTTTGCCAGTCCAACAAAAAGGTATGGGTAACTGTGCAAGCAGTCATGGATTGGTTCCATAAATGCTTCATACCAGAAATGGAACAATACCTTGCTTCCAGAAGATGGAATTCAAGTTGTTATTATTGATTGACATTGCACCAGGCCACCCAGAAAGTTTGCAGTTTAGCCATCCAGGTGTGAACATGGTGTTCTACCCCTAACACCACAGCTCTTATTCAGCCTCTCAATCAGGGTGTAATACAGTACACTCTTCAAGGCACATTACACCCGGCGCTCTTTTGGTGGTATCCAGGGGGCCATGGACACAGACCCTGATGTTAGCAAGTGTTGGAAGGCGTACAGCATTGCAGACTGTATTAACACCATCAGTGAAGCATTCAATGAACCAGAGACAGTGAATGCTTGTTGGCTCACCTTATGGCCAGTGTGTGAATAACTTTCAGGGATTTCTGTTCATAGTAAGAATGTGAATGACATTGTGAGTGTTGCACATCAATTGGGTGGTGAAGGGTTTGTGGACATGGCTGCTGAAGACATGGAAGAGCCGATTGATGGACATGGAGAGAAACTGACAGAAGAGGATTGGGGCTTGGATAATTTTGGTGAACTATTTCGTCAGGTAAAGATGGTAAATGATTTCATTGTTGACCACGACCCTTTTGTGGAGCGCAGCCTTAAGGTGGTCCGAGAAACAACTACCAATCACAGTGTTTTCAAGAAAGAACCAGCCTCTACTACTGTCCTCCACCCTCCCTCCTAGCTATAGTGCCACCTCCCAGTACACTTCTCCACCAACCACCACTGCATCACCCTCTCTCCAACAGTGTTCCTGATGATCTCCCTGTGGTTCAGTAACCATGTGTCTCCCTATGTACAGTAGCTAAACAACTATCTGTGCAGGTGGGGTCAATATGCTCCGAAATTTTACGTGTGACTAGTGACAGCCCTCATATACCAATATTTATCGTCCATGGTCTCATATTGTTTCCCACAAAGTATGTACAGATAGTTGTTTTGAGCTACTGTACAATGCACCACTTCATCAAGCTCCAAACTTCCATAGGAATATAAGTATCAGTGACTTAGGTTTCTTATACAGTGTAGGTATTATATAAGTTTTGCTAGCGGTTTGCCAATTCCCGCCATTTCTTGGAACCTAACTCTCGCAAATGGCAAGGGTTTACTGTATATATCATAGGCAAAAACAGAAAGGGAATAAACATTTCTTACATGCACTGGGTTAGCCCTCACAGCAGGAGATGGGGAGTGGCAGGGGATATCTCGGCTGTTTTCTGTCTTTAGGTCCATGAAACAATTGCCAAATGGTAACACAGTACTTTTCTTTTATTTATTAATATTTTTATTTATTCCTTACAATTACTGTGATTGTGAAGTGCTTTTGCTGTTTTGTGACAAGTGTTTTTACTCTGTTTTTGTAGCTGTGAAATGAGCAGTGTAACCTTGAAAATGTCTAGCAAGTTGTTGTTGAAGGCTCCTGCATCTGGGAAGGCCAAAGGCGCTCAGGAACTCTCTCTCTAGAGGTGAAGCTTGACATTATGAAGCAACCAGGCTTGTTCTTAATGGTGGCGAGACTGTTTAATTGTTTTCTATTTATCTTATAAGTGTAGTTTTTCAGTGATACAAGTGTATCTGATTGGCTAGAATGTATCCTATTGGACCTTATGTTATGAATTTGATTTAAGATATTTCAATTTGTGATGGATAACCCCATCAGGATACCTGTACATATGGGGAGAGGAAAGGGGTAGTTTGGTAACCTTAGCTGCGATTAAGAGTTATTGAAGGATGTTACATATCAAATATTTACATAAGAGGATTCTCATCTTGTTATTGGTGTCCAAAATGTACATGTACTTGAGAAAAACTTAGCCAAGATGGCAATAAGACAGACCTTAATATTAGGCTGTCACTGGAGAACAGTAATACTGTTTATGAAGCTGGTTAATCTTGGTTCAACATTTGATGAAAAAAAAGCACCTGTAAAATATTTAATTATATTACAGCTGATGACTCCCATTACACAATAAACTTTTGCAGAAGAACATGGTTGATATACACAATTAACCTCAAGAGAATTGTATTATAGACTTTAGAACTGTTAGGATTAACAGGAACAGTTAGATTAAACATGACAATGCCACTTCACCATGTGTTAATCACTACTCATACAGTTTCATAACACAGTTAACAAGATCAAGTTTGATAAAATATCTAACTGCAGCATAATGGGTCAACCAATGACCAATGGGGTACACTATAACTTTCAACATGTAAGAGTAAAAGTACATAAATCCATTTTTACTGTTAAATATTATCCATTTATCTTTATCCACCTAATTCTTCTTATTAATTGGTCTGAATATTTTGGTCTTTGCCACTTGTTTCTTGTTCCACCGTAGCCCCACCACCACCACGCGACAGGTCTTCTGCCAGCTGAAAACCCAGATCAACCAATGGTGGTACTAGAAAACATTTTGCAACCTGTAAAAGATAAGCCAAATTAATGTTTTACGAATGACTATTTTATATGATTTAAAACAAATTTTTAAAGTACAATATTGTACTCTTGAATTCAGACTCTCTAAATTTAGGTTTTAGATAAGCATCGAAAGACAACGATTATAAAAGCCGCTTTTTACCTTCTTCAAGTCCAGTGTGTTGATGTCAAAACATCTTTCTGTTGATGGGAGTTGTATGCTCGAACATAGCCCTTGAAAGCTTCTTTGCCACTGGCATGGAGGAAATAGTTCTGAGTCATCAACTTTTCCAGCTGGTGAGGAAATGAATATTTACTAGCATATTTTTTGTCATGCATAATAGAAATTGGTTTTACATATCAGCCCTAATTTACTTCATGTTACAAAAATTCTACATTACAAGTACATATCCTTTTTTTCTTGTACAATATTTTATTTTAAATGATAAATTGGATTTCATGAAGATTTGGAATCCCAAATTATTTCACCTGATGATTAAACACCCATGTTAAATGGTAGGTTAGGTTAGCATTAACCCTTAACCCAGGGTGACTTTCCTGAATGTTCTTAATAGCGGCACATTTGAATATCCGCATGGGATGAAATATTTGGTATGGGATAGTTGACTAATTGGCAATTCAACTCAAGTGTATCTGTCTCAAGACTCATCCCTCAGTGACCTGCCAGATATTGAGGATGCATGTCCTAGACCTCTTATGACCCACCCCTCCTCCGCCCAAGCACAGGCATTTGCTCGACAGTAGTTCTGTTCATCAAGAGTTGCTTTGATTTGAGTGGCATTGATATACAGTACAGTAGTATTGGGTGATGAAGACAATGATGGGAGGAAACAGAACCCAGATAATGTCAAATTTGCTGGAGAAGTTAGAACAGTGATAGGCCTACAGACAATTGCCCTACCTCTCTCTCCCACCCGCCAGCCACTGTGAACCATGGTACAAAGATATGATAACTTGGTAAAAGAATGTGGTGTTGCCTTGTACAATTTGTGTTACAAAGACTAATACATGATCAAAAGTTCTAAATTCAGTATTCAGTAAAGTACCTGTACATGTAAATAATGTACAGTATATACATTATACTCTGGATTTAGTGGAAGGAATTTTTTCGTTATTTTTAACTTCGATTTAGTGAACTACAGTCGACCCTCATTAGTCCGGACTAATAGGGGAAGGGTGTCGTTTAGCCGATTGTCGAATTAACTGATTTAGGGGTTAATATTGCATTATATTTCTAAGTCATTGTTTTCGTCCACGATTTTATCCACTTTCCACAGTAATCGTCACGTAATTTCAGCAAAAATATTACATTTCGTGAATGTATTATATCAAGCACAGTATGAATAGAATATCATTGTAATATAACAGTATTTTAACGAAAACTATTAAAAAGCGAGTAACTTCTCTTGAACATCGGAAGGTTAGGTAAAATCTTTGTTTTCGTCATGTATTTTATCCTATTTTACATTAAAATACATCATGTTTCAGCAAAACTACTATTTATTTCGAGAATATATTCATTCAGGCGCAGTTTAGGTAAAATATCGTGTGATGTAACAGTTTTTTAACTGAAAACGATTCAACAGCGTACCCTCTAGCCCTGTTCAAGGAGAGGACTGGGAGAAGCTGTTTGGTGCTGCGATGACAAGGGAAATGATTTGGATGGATTTTAATGAAAATATTCAGAAATATGGTATCGTAGTATTTATTCAAGTCAATTAGGATAGATTATTGTAATACAACAGTTTTTAACTGAAAACCAATCGAAAAAATTTATGGTAACATCTTTTGAGCGAGGCGAAAGTCATTGTTTTCGTCACGATTTTATCCACTTTCCACTGTAATCGTCGTCATTTCAGCAAAAATATTACATTTCCATGAATGCATTATATCAAGCACAGTATGACTAGAATACCATTGTAATATAACAGTATTTTAACCAAAAACTATTAAAAGAATGAGTAACTTCTCTTGAACATCGGAAGCTTAGGTAAAGTCTTTTGTTTTTCGTCATGTATTTTATCCTATTTTACATTAAAATACATCACGTTTCAGCAAAACTACTATTTATTTCGAGAATATATTCATTTAGGCACAGTTAAGGTAAAATATACATGTGATGTAACAGTTTTTAACTGAAAACGATTGAAAAACACGTGTACGTCTAGCTGATACTCAACAGCTGGTGGTGCGTCATGCTTAGATTGTAAACAATAGGAGGTTGAAGTAGATTACCGGGTATAATATTAAGTGTGAAATATCGAAAACGTTTTATTACGGTATTTTTGTAGATCAATGAGAACTGTGATACGTATACAGTCAACCCTCACTTTACGCAGTTAATGTAACCCACAGGGTACCACGGAAAGTGAGAAACACGTAAAGTGAATAACATAACATAAGGGATTAAATGAAATAGAGACCAGCTGACCCCCAAACTCCACTTTTTCAACACAATACCTATGTTCTAGTAAAAATAACATCTTAATTTTATGATGGTACATGCACACAATTAATACTTAAGAGAAATGAAATACAGTGTCAAGTTAATGTCCATTCAAATAATGGACCCCTCCCCCTTCTCACACTACACTCCTGGCTCTTCCCTCTTAGAAATTTTGGAAAACCAGGTATAGTAATAAATAGTACCTCAAACTAAAGTTAGGATAATATAATTGACATTGCTGGATTCCTTGTAAGACCAGGAATATTTTGAATATAAATGTCATATATTTTTCACAAATAACATATTTACTGAGTAAACATTACATCTAAAATTTGTATGTCTAATGCAAAATATATGATGTTTATATTCAAAATGATCATCAAATTGTAAGAATTCCGCAATGTAAATTATATTCTGGCGGGTAATTTGTATGAATTTTATGAGCTAAAACAAATATCTTCAGTTAATAAAAAAAATATTCTTCGACACTATCTGTCAATCAAAGTACCCCACCTTGCCTCCCACCACTCTTCCAACTGAGCCAGATGGTCAGTCGTCCCAACCCTTCCCCCACCACAACCCTCCTTCAAGAGAATGGGTGGAAAAAACTAGATTTTAACATTTAGTATTAAATAATACCTCAAACTAAAGTTAGGATAATATAATTGACATTGCTGGATTCCTTGTAAGACCAGGAATATTTTGATATAAGCGTCATATATTTTACAAAGATAACATACTCAGATTAAACATTACATCTAAAATTTGTATGTCTAATGCAAAATATATGATGTTTATATTAAATAATCATAAGTGTAAATTCCAGCATGTAAATTATATTCTGGCGGGTAATTTGTATGAATTTTATGAGCTAAAACAAATATCTTCAGTTAATAAAAAATACTCTTCACACATGCCAGGTGGTGGTCGCGGTCCTCCTACCAGATAAATGTGTGGGAATACCAGACTGTTTACCTTTTTAGTAATAAATAATAAATCAGACTAAAGTTAGGATAATATAATTGACATTGCTGGATTCCTTGTAAGACCAGGAATATTTTTAATATAAATGTCATATATTTTGCACAAAAGATAACATATTTACTCAGAGTAAACATTATATCTAAAATTTGTATGTCTAATGCAAAATCTATGATGTTTATATTCAAAATGATCATCAAATTGTAAGAATTCAGCAATGTAAATTTTATTCTTCCGGATAATTTGTATGAATTTTATGAGCTAAATAAAAAATTATACTTCACCTTCGTAAGGGGTAGTAAAGGGGTACACCCACTGCGGAATGTGAGCATCCTGGGTTCTAGGCACCGCAGAACGGAATGAAATAATCAAGGAAGTGAGGGCGTATATGATATGATAAGTTAGCCTGTGCTAAGAACTTCAACATAGATTACTGAAAACACGCATAATTTAGCCTATTGTAAGTTGGTGAGCTTCATTTGCTGAAGGAACTGCACAACTTTTCATCACTAATTGGTACATATTTTACGTTTCATTGTTTACTGGCAGTAAATGGCAAATATTTTTCATGTCTGAAGCTGTTGCATCTCCCACACTAGTGGTGGAGATGTTACATTAACCAAAAAGACGCTGGTGTTTTATCCCAGCAGTGGGTGGACCAGCATTTCAGCTTAAGGTCCTATAGGTAATATTCCTACAAATCTAAAAGAAAAGTTCAGATTTTGTCCAAATTATCCGAAATCCGGTTTAAAGGGGTCCAATTAGCGAGTCAATGTAGTTCCATTAATATGCTCACACCTACAAATACACCTCAGACACATATGTACTGTACATAGAAACATTATTCATGGCTTAACTTAAACGGGGTCCGATTGTTTTCAATTTTTCTAGTAATATTTCCGTTTGCGGAATCCCTCAAACCCAACGGAATTGAAATTTGCTCGGAAAATCATTCCTAAAGCCGTAACTTTCCAAAATTTCCGATGACCTTTTTCAAGAGTATCTACAGTAGTATCTTTAATGGGGATACTAGAGGGTTTCAAGAAATGGGTTAAAACTATGAAGGGCTATACATGTATATTTTAAGAAATGGGTAAAATTAACAAATAAATAAAAATCATATGAAAAGCACTTGCTCACTGAATACTGTACATTGCTCTAATCAGATTTGATGTAGGCCAGCCGGTTGAGAGGGGATGACTGGGGGTTTCGATCAATAGGTTTATTTATTGATTCAGTAGATCAACCTCTTATAGCGTATGATTCATCATGATTAATATAACATCTTCAATAATGAGAAAAATAAAATACGTAATTTGTAATATGTCTTGAAAATACAGTAAAAGAATAAGCGTTTGTAGGTATTCACTCAGGATGCGTTTGTAAGAGCTTTCGCAAACCAGCTTACAACAAGTTACACTGTATAGTATTTAATATGAAGATCTTACTTATTGTATTACTGGTGATAAGTGATGCCTTAATTTGTTACTTGTACACCTAGACAACTGTTGAATGAATAAACCAAGGAATATGCACTACAATATTAGTTAAGTGTTGATAAATACACAACAATATTATTTATTAAGTGATGATAAACACACTGTACTAATTTATTAAGTACTGAAGATGGATGTTGTGTTAAAGATGAACTAGGCCAATCAGCAGTGTCTTTAAACAAATGACTCAGTGAGGAGGATTTTTTTTCAGGAAAGATTTTTAGGATATTTTATCACCCTGGCACCAAATGAACCTAAATGATAAGGAATTATGATGAAATTGCATAAAGACGTAAAGAAGGAATCTTGAGGAGCTGCCCACCCCCACGTGCTGCTCCTGATCACTCTCA